AGGACTTAAAACATTTACTGATGAAGATCAAAGAGCACAGCCTTCGATATGGATTACATCTCAATGTCAAGAAAACAAAAATCCTCACCACTGGACCAATAAACAACCTTCTTATTAACAGAGAAAAGATTAAAGTTGTCAAGGACTTTATCCTTCTTGGATCAATTATCAACACTCATGGCAGCAGCAGTCAAGAGATCAGATGACGTATTACATTAGGCAAATCTGCTGCACAGGAACTTTTTAAAGTGTTGAAGAGCAATGTTAGCTTGATGCCTGACGCAAGCCATGGTTTTTTCAATAATCTCATATGCATGCAAAAACTGGACAGTGAATAAGGAAGACCGTAGAAGACTTGATGCCTTTCAATTATGGTTTGGAGTAGAATACTGAAAGTGCCATGGACTGCCAAAAGAACCAGTAGATCTGTTTTGAAAGAAGTGCAGCCAGAGTGCTACTTAGAGGCCAAGATGGCAAACCTCATCTCTCATACTTTGGACATACTGTAAGGAGGGAACAGTCACTGGAGAAGGATATCATGCTTGGTAAGATGGAGGGTCGGAGAAAAAAAGGAAGACCCCCAATGAGCTGGATTGGCCAGGTGGCAGCATCGATGGACTCAAGAGTGGCAACAGTAGTGAGGTTGGCCCAGGATCGGACATTGTTTCGTTCTGCTGTGCATAAGGTCGCTATGAGTCGGTGTCAACTCGATGGCACTTAACAACAACAACGAGTCAGAACTGCACTTGACAACATTTTACTTTTTCATATTAAGAAAATTTAATTTTGCTTTATTATTTCCAGTCATACAATTAGAATTGTTTCCAAATTAAGTGTTCTTACATAGAATCCTGGAATCCTGGTGTGACTCTGTAGGATAAAGCACTGGGCTGCAAGGTCAGTTTGAACCATAAGGTCAGTGGTTTGAACTCGCAAGCTACTCCTTGGAAACCCTATACAGGGTTGCTATGAGTTGGAACCAGTTAAATGGCACTTAACGACAACAACAACATAGAGTAACATAGGATAGATCAGTTTAAGTCATTTTATTCTCAGAATAATTAGCAACATCTTGGGAAGACAGGTCAGGAAAATGCAGTATTAGTTGATGTGACAGAATGTAGATTTATACACTTTTTTTTTTTTTTTTTCTTAACTAGAAGGGCAAATGTATCTTCAAAGAATAAGAATACATTAATTTTTTTTTTCTTTTAGTCCTTGAAATAAACACACATGAACACACACACTCACTTCACAGAGAATCCTGGTTGAAACCACAGAAGCAGTTGGTGCTAAAAAATGCAATTTATAATGAGAAACTTCATTTTCCTGTGGTTTCAAACATGACTTGAGTAAGAATATGACTATTAATTAACCTTTTAGAAACTGGTATTCCCAGCACTTCCTCTTATGACATATAGAACCACATTCCAGTTTCATTTTCTGTACTGCTAGGCTTTTAAGTCCAACTTGAAAGACCATCTGGACCCTTAAATCCATCATCCCAGTTTATTTAACCAGTTCTTTATTTTTGAATGATTTAGAATTTATGCAGAATTTTACTCATTTGTCATATATATTGGATACCTTCTGTTGCTTGGTATTGTTAAGTGCCATCAAGTCGGTTTTGACACATAATGACATTGTTTGGGGTTGATGAGGAGCTATGGGTGGGTTTGAACTGCTGAACTTGCAATTAGTGGTCCAGTGTTTATGCTACAATGCCCCCTCAGGACTCCAGTCATTGTTGTTGTTGTTAAGTGTTGTTGAGTCATTTCCAACTCATAGCTACTCTACAGGGTTTCTGAGGAATGGTTGGTGAGTTTGGACCTATGACCTTTTGGTTCAGATTGATCTTGATGTCCAGTACTTATTCTACAGCACCACACTAGGGACTCCAAGGTATTGTTCTAGGGTATACAAAATCACTGACCTCATTATAACAGAGTAAATAGATAATGCTTATTTTAAAAAGAATATAGATCAGATGGTGATAAATGTTACATAGAGAAATAAAACAGATACTGGGAAATAGGAGATGGATAGAGTGGCACGATGCTGTTTTATATGGACTAACTGGGGCAGGTTTCCTTGAAATTTGAAAAGAAATGTGGACAAAGTGGACAATGCCCTGAAAAAGATTCAGTCTTAGAATAGTAAGGAAACCTGTGTCTCCTGAATAAAGACGACTGGGATGAGCTGGAGTGAGACAGACTATATGGGGCCTTGGAGACCAATGTAGGGATTTTGTTTTTCTTCCAAGATAAGAATCCCTTGGAGTCCTTAGAGACTTTTGAGTCCAAGAGTGACTTGATAGGATTTATGTTTTTTAAGATGACAATGGCTACTGTGTTAAAATAGGGCTATAAGTAAAAAAATAAAAAAACAGTAAGTGTAGAAAGAAAAGATCAGAATCCAGATATATTGTGAAGGTAGATCTAACACAATTTGCTAACAGATTGGATTGCTAACCATAAGGTCAGGGTTCAAACTTACCAGTTGCACCTTGGAAACCCTATATAGGGTCGCTACTTCTTGAAATGTTGAAAATAACAAGTGCTGGTGAGGAAATTGGAACCTTCATCCATTGCCAGTGGAATTATAAAATTGTGCTACTGCTATGGAAAAAAGTGAAACAAATAAATACCATGTGCTGTTTGAACTGCAAAGTTGGCGGTTTAAGCTCACCAACTGCTCCTTGAAAACTTTATACAGGGTTGCTATGGGTCGGAACTGACTTGATGGCACTTCACAACAACAACAATGCAGCAATTCTACTCCTACATACAAGGGGCTTCAAAATTTGTGGGAAAATACCATTATCTATTATTTCCATTTTTCCATGAACTTTTTGAAGCCTGCCCTATATTCAAGAGACGTGAAAGTGGGGACTCAAACAGATACATGTACAACTATTTTCATTGCGGCATTACTCACAAAAGCCAAAAGGTGGAGACAACCAAAGTGTCTATCAGCAGATGAATGGATACATGAAACATGACACAAATATACAATGATATACAGTGAAATTTTATTATGCCATAAAGAGAAGTCAAGTTCTGATATAATCTATGGCATGGATGAACCTTGAAAGCATTGAGTAAAATAAACCAGGTACAAAAGAATAAATATTGTTATGATCCCACTTGCATGAAATCCTTAGAAAAGGCAAAACATAGAAATACCATATGATCCAGAAATTCCTCTACTTGGTATCCTAGAGAACTAAAAACCACAACACAAACACATATATTTGTGCACCTACCTGTTCATCATAACACTATGCACAATAGCAAAAAGATGGAAACAACCTAAATACCCATCAGTGGAAGAATGGATAAACAAACTTTGGTATGTATACACAATGGCATATTACACATTAAAGATAGTGATGAATCTGTGAAACATTTCATAGCATGAATGAACCTGGAGGACACTAGACTGAGTGAAATTAGTCACAAAAGGACAAATATTATATTAAACTATTATTGTACAAATTCAAGAAAAGGCTTTCACACTAATAGAAGCATTCTTTGATAGTCACCAGGGGTGTAATTCACTGGCTATAGGGTAGACATACTAACTTTGGTGAGCGGGAAGTCAATAGACAATAAGAGGAAGGTTGGTAAAAGTGCTGATGAATGCAGAAAACATGGGGCGGAGTGTGAGGGTTAAAGGCAACAGAAATAAATTCTGTTACTTACACAGTCCTGCAATAACAGTGATCTACAGGTGGATGTATGGCTAGACACTCAAACTGAACAGGTATAGGAGGGAGAGAGGGAATCCACTCACAAATATGTAAGGGTTTCACAGAGGATATTTGTGCATGGGTATTTGCTTTTGCTGCACATATCCATGAATGTAGTGGAGCATTGTTGTTAATTGTCATTGAGTCAGTTCCCACTAATAGTGGACTCTGAATAGGGTTTCTGAGGAATGACTGGTGAGTTTGCACAACTGACCTAGCAGTTCAAACCAACCTTGCCACCCATTGTTTATCCTATAGCATCACGTCAGGACTCCTAGTGGGGTACACAGGGCCCAAAACTGTGAAAACTTCTTAGACATTTCCATACACCTTGAGGGAATGAGTTGCTGAGCCTGGGAACTGGGGGCCATAGTCTCAGGAGACACCATGGTCAATTGGCATAACATAGGCCACAAAGACATCTACTATACCTTACTTTCGTGAGTTGTGAATGGAATGTTAAAAGTGCAGGAGCAGCCATCTAAGGTGCAATTATTTTTCTCTCCCTGTGAAGAGGAAAAAAGAGTGATGAAAATTCTTTGTTTTTATTAAGTGCTGTCAAGTTGGTTCGGATTCATAGGGTTTCTGAGGCTTTAAATTTTGGCGCTTAATTTGTGGTTCACCGTTACAATGCTTATCATAATGGACCTGGTTCTACTTCTGTAAACTTTACTTATAATATGCTGCCATTGAAAAGTATAGACAGTTTTATTATGCTTTTTTTTCTTTCTTAATTTTTCTTTATGTAGCACTGGTTTACGGAGCCATGGTGGCATAGTGGGTTACGAGTTTTACAAGTAAAAGCTAAAGATTTACAGCCTCGGAAACCTTTGACAGGGTCTCTGAGTGGGAATCGACTCAACCGCAGACATAACAACAAAAACAATGTAGCAATGGGGGGCCCAAAATAAAGATTAAAGGTACTCTTTCATCACAGCACGGAAGAAAATACAAGGGACGTCAAAAATGGTTCCCTTACGTCATTTCTGCGCGCCCCACCTCAGGGCCAATGGCTTGGCGTGCAGCTTCATTGCTCAAAGGACTTGAGAGCGTTAAGCACACTAGAGGCTGAACGCACACTTAGGCGCGCCGCCGCGAACCTTTCCCGTCGCCCCGCCCCTGAGAGCTCGCGGGGGCAGGGCGCGGTACTACGCACGCGCAGCATCCCATTCACCATTCTAGTTGTTCCCAATGGCGCGGTTTAGATCTGTACTGCCTTGAAGGCGGGGCTGGCTCTAAGCCAGAGCCAATGGTACCCAGGGTGAGGGTTGAGGGGTGGGGTGAAAGGTGAGTGCTAAACCGTGGTGCAGGTTTCTTCCAGCGCGTGTCTGGGCTGTTTGGTCGTCATGGAGGCAGTCTTGACGGAGGAACTTGATGATGAGGAGCAGCTGTTGAGAAGGCATCGCAAAGAGAAGAAGGAGTTACAAGGTGAAGGGGAAGTGGGAACCTAAAAGTTGCCCCGACTCAAGGAAGGGCGCGAGACAGTCGGTTTTGGGAAAATTTTAAGGGCGACTGGTCTGGATCATCCTTAGATATCCCCTAAAAAGCACGTGCCTTTTTTTCCGCCTCCCCTTCCTTGCTGTTTCCTAGTTTCCAGGCCTTCAGAGGCTCCCTCCTGAGGCCCACCTCATCCCTCTACCCGTCTCTCCCCCTACCTCCGACCCGCCTGACAGGACCATCTGGGACCTTGACCTTTGTCCTCTCCGCTTCCCCGCGCCCTTTCCAGCCTTAGTTACCATCGTCCGGTCCTAAGGGGTGTATTTTGAAATGTCATACTTCAGTTTGGGGGTCTCAGAAGAGATCCATGAAAGATTTAAAGCTTGCTACAATCACTTTTTCTTATTTTTCTTTACCCACCAAACGACCCAAACGAACTCACTGTATATTAATGAGTTTTTCTGTGTGCCATAGCTTTATCTGGATCCTTCTATCTAATGAGTCTAATGAAATGTTCCTTATTTCCTTAAAGTTTTTTCCTTTTATAAACCTTTCTCCCCTTGCTATTTCTTTATTGTTTCTGTTACTAAAACTCTCTTTATTCTGGGTCTCTGACTTGATTTTGGTGACTTTCCAGCTAAAATTCAGGGTTTGAAGAGTGCTGTTCCCAAGAATGACAAAAAGAGGAGGAAGCAACTCATAGAAGATGTTGCTAAGTTGGAAGCAGAAATGGAGCAGAAGCAGAAAGAGGAGCTGGAGCAGTTGAAGCTGACAAATAAGGAGAATAAAGTATGTGAAATAATGTTTGTGTCTGTGTTTGCCTACAGCATTTGAAAACAATTAGTCACTTCTGCGAAACTGTTTGCTATATGACTTCATAAAATTGGTAGGGAATGTACAGTTCTTAACCTAATTACTTGTCCAAGAGATGAATATAGTGGTATAATGGTAAAGTGGACCAGAGGAAGTATCACCAAATAAGTTGTAAGACCAGACTTGTAGTCTCAGAATTGTCACTGAACAGATTTGTAATTCTGGGCAGTTACTTAACTTTCCTGAGCACAAAAATGCTCCCACAGATATTGATAGTACAAATATTGATGCAGATTCTTGGATGTATCAAATGGGAAGCAAATGTAAAATCATTTTTAAATTATAAATGCACTTTATGGACAGTTGTAATGTTTCTTGGGTAAATTGGGGCATACTGATTTTCATTATTTATCTAATATTTATGTTTATAGCCAATGTGCATTCTGTGCTAAGCACTTTACCGTGTTGCATGTCCTATCTCATTTAATCCTTGATACCATCTTATTTTAAGACATTCTTTATGAGGTAAGTATAGATAGTCTCATTTTTTTAAATCTAGAAATAGATTTAGATAAAGAAGTTTATGCTAAAGTTAAAACTGCTAAGTGCAAGTTTTATTTATTTGGCTTGTTGCTTTGTCGTAGGGAAATGAAATAAAATGAATCTGTACTTAAAAAAAAATCTCCTTAGTAGACATATAGGAGTCCTGATATGGCTCTGTAGGGTAAACACTGGACTGCTAACCCTAAGATCTGCAGTTCAAACCCACCAGCTACTCCTTGGAAACCCTATACAGCATTGCTATAAGTCAGAACCAACTCAATGGCATTGAACAACAAGATAGTACACATAGTCTCAATTTCTTTAGCTTTGTATATCATCTCAGCACTATTGGGAATCCTGGTGTGGCACTATAAGCTAAACACTGGACTGGTAACCACAAGGTTCAAGTCTACTAGCTGTTCCTTGGAAAACGTGTTCTGGGTCTCTGTGAGTCAGGACTGATTGGATGGCACTCAACAAAAACAACAACAAGCACTATACAGAGAGGGCTAAGCACTGGGCTGCTAACCACAAGTTGGTGGTTCAAACCCACCAGCTGCTCCACAGGCTAAAGATGACGTTGTCTACTCCCCTAAAGATTTACAGTCTCTGAGGTCCTATAGAGCAGTTCTGTTCTGTCCTATAGGGTTATAATGAGTGAAATGACATCATGGCAGTGGGTTTGGAGTAAGCATTATCAGTATTCAGTGTAAGGAAGTGTATTTTGCTAATAAGAATATGTATCTTAGGTTAAGCATTTTAACATGTTATAGGGTGTTATCTAATTTAATCCTCATAGTAATAAAATATGAGCTATTCTTTATATTCTTTATGAGTTAGTATAGGTGATCCCATTTTTCAAATGAGGAAATCCGTTTAGATTAAGAAATTTTCCCCCAAACCAAACAATTACCATTGTTTACAAATGTGCACTTGCATGTATATTTTGCAAACTATGCAATCCCCTTTTACATTAGATTCCTATTAGCGCTGTGAAAGTTATATGTCCAGGTACATGTTTCTGTGGGCACATTATATGTGAAAAAGTTGGTAATTGCTAAAACCAAAATTTAAATCAGAGCCGTCTTACTCAAGGATGTGAATATCGAATTCTGCTATGTTTTCTAGGAAACTTTCAGGAAATACGGTCCTAAGATGAATGGCACATGCAAGGAAAGAAAGTATAGAGCTGTTAGGAATCTGAAAATTCTCTCTGGAAAATAGGGAAAGACTACAAAATTAGTTTATCTACTAGTATGGTATCTGGTGCTGTTATTCAAATTTGAAATTTTAGATTACACAAATTTGTGAGTTTCGGTAATAATTTCAACGTTAATTTAAAAGCATTTTTCATTAACTTGGTATTGTTTTTGTTTTCTTCAGATAGATTCTGTTGCTGTTAACATTTCAAACATGGTTCTTGAGACTCAGCAGCCTCGGATAACAAAAGCACAAAAGAGACGGGTATGAAAGCCATGTCACCAAGTATTTAAGTTAATGATGTGACTCAGTACTATTTTAGGTTGTATAGAAAGGGATCGGAAAAAACAAGGGGGAGTTCATTGTTAATCACATGAATGAGTCTTTATCAAGCAGCTGCTGTGGGTTAGCTTTGAGCTGCTAATCACAAGGTTGCTGGTACAAAACCTCCAGTTTGTTCCTCTGTAGAAAGATTAAGCTGTCTGTTCCTGTCTTGGAAAACCTTCTTTAGAGTCACTATGAGTTGGAATCGACTCAGTAGCAGTGGTTTTGATTTTGGGGGTTTATATGGTGGTAAAGGAGGCCTGGTGGTACTGTAGATAGGCATTGGGCTGCTAACCACAGGGTTAGCAGTTCAAACCACCGGTTGCTCTGTGGGAGAAAGATGAGGATATCTGTTCCTGTAAAGATTTACAGTCTATGAAATCCTACATAGTAGCGAGTCGGAATTGACTTGATGGCTGTGATTTTGGTGTTTGGTTTATATGGTGTTTAATTACCATGAAAATTCAGAGAAAAAGTTATGCTGAATGTTAGCTTATGAGGTGGCGCTGTAGGATAAGCACTGGACTGTAAACCACAAGGTCGGCATTTGAAACCCACCAGCAGCTCCTTGGAAACTATACAAGGTCCCTCTAAGTCGGAATTGACTGGACAGACTTAACAATTGTTATTTAATGGTGTCTTTGTGTGGCACTGTAGGATAAAGCACTGAACTGCAACGTTTGAACCATATGGCTAGAAATGACTTCACGGCACTTAACAACAACACAGTTATTTAGCAGGAGACCTGGTGGTGCAGTGGTTAAAGCACCTGGTTGCTAACTATAAGATTAGGAGTTCAAGTCCACCAGCCACTCCATGAGAGAAGGCCTTGGCAATCTGCTTCCACAAAGATTTATAGCTTTGGGTAAATATATTATCAAACACACAAAGGGCAGAAGACAATGTAGATGACAGGGACCTCTTAACAATTAAACACTTATGTGCATTAAAAACTGTCACCAAAACAGTAAAAAGAGAACCTACAAACTGGCAAAATTTCTTTTGGCCATTACATACCAGACAAGAAACTGCTGCCTTAAATTTCTACAGTACTCCAATACTTCAATAAGAAGACAATCCAATTAAAAAATGGGCAGAAGACATGAACAGACAATTTATGTAAGAGGAGATTCAGGAACCAACAAACGTGAAGAAATGATCACAATTACTAGCCATTGTTAAATGCTGTTGTCAGTTATGACTTATAGTGACCCTTTGTAAGGTTTCTGATGAGTAGCTGGTAGTTTTGAACTGTTTTCTCTGGTTTATAGTCTAGAGCTGATAGCACCATACTAGGAGTCCAAACCATTAGAGAGATGCAAATCAGAACAACAGAGACAATCATCTTGTTAAATTCCATCAAGTCAGTCCTGATTCATAGCAACCCTGTATAGGGTTTCCAAGGAGCAGCTGGTGAGTTTGAAATGCCAACCTTGTGGTCCAGTTCTTATCCTACAGTGCCATACCAGGCCTCCAGTGTTAATAGCAACGTTCAAAAAAGCAAAACAACAAATGCTGGAAAGGGTATGGAGAGATTGTGGCTTTCCTACACTGCTGGTGGGACTGTAAAATTGTGTATTTCTATTTCAGAAGGTTGGAAATAGAAATACCGTATGACCCAGCAATCTCTACTTTGTATATATCCTTAAGAAATAAAAGCTGTCACATGAATAGATAGATGCATGCCCATGTTCTTGCAGTATTATTCACAACAGCAGAAAGATGGAGACATCCTAGATGTCTGTCAGCAGAGGAATGATTCAACCAACTTTGGTATATACACACAATGGAACATCACACAGCATTGAAGAATAACTGTGAATATGCAAAATACCACATAACATGGATGAACTTGAGTGAAATTAGTTTGTTGCAAAGAAACATTGTATGAGACCACTACTGTAAAAAGTCAAAAACAGGTTTTATTCTGTAATAAACCTTCTATGATGAGTACCAACCAAAAAAAAAGAAGAAAGAAAAGGGGAAGGGAGAAAGGAAATTTTTCGTCTTTTTTTCCCACATACTAAGAGGGAAACAATGTATATTTTCTCATGAAGACAAACTGTGGGAAACCTGCAAATAAAAAAGAGAAAAGGGGGGAAAAGAGAGAAAAAGATTTGGAAATGGTTAGTGGTGACGGTTGTACAATATGGGGAGTATGGTTGTAAGTAGTGAGTTCATGATATCAAAATAATGGGAATGAAATTTAAAAGAGTTGATATCTAATCTTTTTAGTCCTTAAATTATTTTACTTTACTGCTACTTGATGTTTTCTAAAATTTAGATACATGCTTTAAAGCTAGTCTTGCATTTTAATTTAGTATTATATAATTTAATGTAGGAACCCTGGTGGCTTTGTGGGTTAGCTGTTGGGCTGCTAACTGTCTAACCCACAGTTAGGCAGTACAGATCAACCAGTCACTCCAAGGGAGAAAAATGAGGATCTCTACTCCCATAAAGATACACAGTCTCAGAAATCTATCAGGTGTCCTGGTATGGTGCTCTAGGATAAGCACTGGCCTGCTAACTGTAAGGTCAGCGGTTCAAAACCACCAGCCACTCCTCAGAATCTCTATACAAGGTTTCTGTGAGTTGAAACGGACTCAGTGGCACTTAGCAACATGAGTTGGAATTGACTTGATGGCAGTGGCATAGTTTATTTAGTAGGAAAGGGTTCCTTGTTAGCATAAATGGTTTGTATTCAACTGTTAACATCCAGCGACACCATGGAAAAAAGGTCTGGCAGTCTGCTTCCTTAAAGATTACAGTCAGTGAAGCCTTAAAGAGCACAGTTCTGTTCTCACATGTGGGTTGTCGTAAGTTAGAGTTGACTTGATGGCAGTGGATTTTTATGTTAGTGTAGAGCATGGAATTTGGAATCAGACAGATGTGATTTTAATCCCACTTCCTGTTTTGACATTAAGTATCATTGGAAGCCTCAGTTTCACATCTGGAAAATGGAGAAAAATCATAGGTACTTCATAGGGTTATGAATGTTAAATTATACACTGTTTCCAAAGTCCTCACATGAGACTTGCAGAACTAAAGGCTTGAGAAATGATAATATTGTTTTTTGTATTAAATACTGAATAATAAGCCTCTTAGAAATTTCACCCTAAGAGCAATGTCATTGAAAGTAGATTCAGTTGTAAATAGTCAAACTTTTTTGGTATCTGTATAATTTTTTACAGTAAATACTATATGTATTTCATTTGTTGTTATTAAGTGCTGTAGAGTCAATTAGGACCCATTATCAACCCTGTGTAGGGTTTCCGAGGAGTAGCTGGTGAACTAGAACTGCCAACCTTGCAGTTCAAAGAGACTTTGCAGTCCGGCGCATTAACCCACAGCGCCACACCAGGTCTCTGTGTACCCCACAGAATCATAAAATTTAGTTTTCAAAGTACCTTGAAGCTTTTTTGATTCAGCTCTCTGCTTCTGATATGCACTTTTTTTTGATAGTCTCACAATTTTCTGTAGATCAAGTGAAAAGCAGTATTTTTGCTTGGTGGTGTTTTAACAGTATATTTATTGAATTTGCCTCTACTTAGGAATCAACTATGGCAATGGATTTTATAGCACCTTATTTAATTCTGAAAAACACTCAAAGATACAGCTCTTTCTTGTCTTTATTAAAACTTGTGCATTCCCATTTGGACCCTTAGGTAACAAGACAATTTCCCTTCTGGTGTGTTACTATAGGATAAGCACTGGACTATTAGCTGCAAGGTTGGCAGTCTAAACCCACCATTTACTCCTTGGAAACTCTATGCAGGATCTCTATGAGTCAGAATCTACTGGATGACACTTAACAACAACAACCACCTTTCTCAAATATGCTTGTAATTTTATCCTAAAGTACTGCATTTCTTCAAATATACCCTTGGAAAGGGCATATTATCTAGTTAACTGTTTAAACACTGGGCAGAGAGAATACCTTAGAAAGTAAAGCTCAAAATTTCTTATTACTTTGTTAAAGGAATTCTGGACTAGAAAAGATTGAAAGTTTCTAATACTTTAAGAAAATGGAACCTGAATTATGAAATGTTAGACTTCTTTGGAATTTTTAAATTTATTATTATTATTTATTTTGTATTAGGCAATTCATGATGTTTATATTTGGGAAAAATATGACTCTCAGGATGAAAAGCATGACAAATTTTATGAAAATGTATTATAGCAGTTGTTTTTATTGTGGAAAACTATATGTAGATCTATTTTTAATCTAGAAAAACATAGAAGTATTTATTTAATTAAAAACACTTCAGTAGAAGCTTTTTGGTATGGAAGAAAGAACCCAAAGTAGAATTTAGAGGAACTGCTCTCCAACAGTATGAAATTTGAGAGTTGGGATGGCATGTAGTACTGTCTCATTGGTTTACAATTGAGAAGCTGAGTTCGTCTCAGCGGCATACTGAAAGTTGCATACAAAATCAGGACTAGTCCCCATTTCTCAAAGTTCTTCAGAATTCTTTTTGCTACATTACCATGATTTAAAGTTACACTATTCCAGTATAGTACATGACATCAGTCATTAACTCTAGCTCCCATCTGCCCCAACTTTTATTCTGATTCAGGTACCTGGATAGAAGGAGCTCTCTGCCCCTACTCTGCTTTTAACCAGCTGTGTGACCTTTGGAAATCTTTCTGCGTGCTGTTTCCTCAGAAGAGGAAATAAGGGGTTTTGGATTAGATGATATATAAGGTGCTTATCTTCCCTCTCCCCTCTAAAACTGTATTTAGTCTGCATTTATAAAGTAACAGAGCAATCTTTTATTTTAAGATATTATGCTTCTCAGTTTCTCAGTTGTACGTATGCTGTGAAACAAATGCACTCAGGTTTATTTTGTCATGGTTGTAATTGGTAGAAAAAATCATCATAAGCTTATGTTTTCTTTTGCTTTTGATTCAATTAACTTAGAAATCACTAGGTTCATCTGGCATGGCACATATGAAGGCATGAATATAGTACAAATACATGGCTTTTAATTTAATTGAAACTTGTCTTCCCGTTTACATCTCTTGCCCAAAGGAGGAGCTAGAGGTAGGGGCATGAGGAATTTTTACCTTTTCCTACGCTTTTACTTGGTTTATCAAATCCTTCACTGTAAGTTTCACCAATATCAAGACTTAAAAGTATTTTGTTTAACTCTTCGCATTATTTGTCATTAAAAAACCAGCCCCCGCGCCCCTTTCCCTGCCAAAAAAAGGAAATAAGTTCCTTCCTGAACAAAGAAGTAAAATGTGCTCATGGTAGAGAATTAGAAAAGTGGAGAAAAGCACAAAGAAAAAAATGTATCCATAATACTACCAGCTAGAGAAAAGCAGTTAAAAATATTTTATGTATATCCTTTTAAGTTTTTTTTTATTTGTTTTCATTATGCCTGGGCTTTACATGTTTTAACTATATATCTATATTTTTTACCCCCAACTTCATCTCTACTTTTCACTCGCATTCTAGTTCTGTGAACTTTTTTCAACTGTGAAATAACCATGCTTTCTTTCTAGCCTTTGATCATTGCTAGTCCAATTATTAGGAATTTTTTTTCTCGCCTGTCTTTTCCAACTTTCCCACATTCTATCCATCCTTTTGGTTTGAATCTATCCAGCAACTCCATGGGAGAAAGACCTGGAAAATTGCTCCTGTAAAGATTATAGCTTAGAAAACCTTATGGGCAGTTTGTCTCTGTCCTATGGGGTTGCTCTGTATTGGAATCGATTTAGTGGCACTTTACATCTGTCTTTTATGTCACTAATCTCTCCTTGACTACTCCTTACCCCATTCCTACATACACTGTCATGGGAAGGCATTGTAAGACATTTGAATAAGGAAAGCGAATTTGAAAATGTGATGTATGATACAATTTTTTGATTTTCTGTATGTACAAGGTCAGTGGTTCAAGCTCACCAGCCACTCCTAGGAAACCCTATACAGTGTCACTATGAGTTGGAACTGACTTAGGGGCACTTAACAACAACAACGTATTATGTACATTTAATTTATGAAAATGTACAGAAAAACAAATCTAGAAGGATACACATACAAAAATGTCCTCAGGAAAGGGCACTGTGGTAGTAATCTTTAAGGGAAACTTTAGGCTCTATTTAATGTTTAATTTTTTTATAAAGAATGTTTTTATGTAATTAAATATGTGAGTATACTTTAAATTTATTTTTATTAAATCTGTCTCTATCTCTCTAAAGGCTTTTGCATAGTAAGACCTCACAGATAGAGTGATAAGTGAAGAAGCGTGAATATGATGATGATGTGCTTTAAGTCTTTGGATAGCTCTTAAGACAATAATTTGAAAGGCGCATGTAAAGTTTCTTGAAATTTTAGTGTGTAATTTTTAAGTAGAGTTGAGAAACATTTAAGGACTTTCTTGTATTAGTACAGTGTTAAGTACTGGGAGCAAAACGAGTTCACAGTGTAGAAACTTACATGTGTTGAGATGTATAATATGATAGTCCTTGTGGGAGAAGGGGCCAAAAGGTTTGAGAATCTTACATCTCTGTTAATAAATGAGGATCAGCCCTAATTTTCTGAATTAACTTTCCTACATTCTCAATCTTTCCTTAGGAAAAAAAAGCTGCATTGGAAAAGGAGCGGGAAGAAAGAATAGCTGAAGCTGAAATTGAGAACTTATCTGGAGCCAGACACATAGAGTCTCAGAAACTTGCTGAAATATTGGCCTCCAGGCAGTTGGAAATTAAACAGATTCCATCTGATGGCCACTGCATGTATAGAGCCCTAGAAGATCAGCTGAAGGAACGGGATTGCCCTCTGACTGTGGCTGTCTTAAGAAGTCAAACTGCTGCATATATGCAAAGCCATGTGGAAGACTTCCTGCCATTTTTAACAAACCCTAATACAGGAGATCTGTATACGCTAGGTAATTTATTTTTCTTTACTGTGTTTTGTTATTTTTTAATGAAGTGCTTGGGATCAAGCTTAAGAAAAACACATATATTCCTATGAGGAAAACAATCACAGAATTATTTTCTATATGGAGTCTTGGTGTGGCACTGTAGGATAAGCACTGGATTAACTGCAAGATTGGCAGTACAAACCCATCAGCTTCTCATAGGAAACCCTATATAGAGTCACACTATGAGTTGGAATCGACTCAATGGCACTCCACAACAACATTTTCTGTATAGACAGTCCTCAATTTAAAATGGTATAATGTATTCTCATTATGGCAGACTACACTTAACAATCATCGATTGTTATTTATTTTTTTGTACATCTTATCATTGGTTATGGAGTTCTGGTGTGATGCTCTATGGCAAGCACTAGACAGATAACCACAAATATACCAGCTGCTCCTTTTAAACCGTATACAGGGTCTCTATGAGTTGGAAACGACTCTACAGCACTTAACAACAGCAACAACAATCATTGGGTAATATGCTCTAGCATGTAATTTGCTGATGTCACTATTTTCAAATGTTCACTTGCAGTGTTCAATTTTATGATTTACTATTCGAAGCACTGCTGAATTTATAAAGATATTGTTAATGAAAGGCAAAAAAAAAGTGTATTCAACTTAAATCAGAATTTAACTTAAACACAATCGTTGGAACAAGACCATGTTGGAAGTTAGGAACTACGTGTTATTTTAATAGATAGCTGGTATATGTCTGCTGTTTAAATAAACCAGTTGCCTTCAAATTGACTTCTACTCATAGTGAGCCCATATGTAAAAGACTAGAATGATGGTGAGTAAGTTTTCAGTGGCTGATTCTTCAGATGTAGATCTCCAGGTCTTTCTCCTAAGGTGCCTCTGGGTAAATTGGACCCTCTAACTGCTTATACTACACAGGAACTCCAAATGGTTTATGACAGTCCCTTCATTGTAAGTAATTAACCATTTTACAGATAAAATATAATGTATATAAGAAAACATAGCAATAGGATTCATTGTTATTTTTAAAAAATGTTTTGATTAGTACATATTTAAGTAAGGGTTGGGCATAGAGGGAGGTAAGCTTTGAACAGTTTAAGCAAGAAGATAACTACGGTGTAAATAGTATTAAAATAGTTTAGGAGCAACACAATTATTGAAGCCATAATTTGAACTCCAAAGTCTATGTTCTTCAATATTACTCAAAAATGAGCCCCGATGATGTTAACAGAATGGTTGGCAGTTCAGACCTACCAGCTGCTCTGTGGGAGAAAGATGTGGGAATCTGCTTCCGTAAAGATTAAACCACTGTCATAAGCTGATTCTGTCATACCAAACCTATAGGTTAAAGCTGTTGTTAAGTGCCATCAAGTCAGTTCCAACTCATAGGGTTTCCAAAGAGTGGCTAGTGGGTTTGAACCGCTGACCTTGTGATTGAAACCAACCTTGCATCCCAGTGTTTATCCCACAGCACCACATCAGGACTCCTAGAATAGAGTAGAATTGCCCTATAGGGATTCTCAGGCTGTAAATCTTTACAGAAGCAGACTGCCCCTCATCTTTCACCCACTGAGTGGCTAATGGGTTCCGACTGCCGACCTTTTGGTTAGCAGCATAAAGCTTGACCCATTGCACCCAGGGTTCCATCTATAAAGGTTACCAGTTTAGAAACCCTGTTCTGTGGGGTCTCTATGAATCAGAATAGACTCAATGGTAATGAGCTTATTACTTGGAGAAGTTGTTGTTGTTGTTGTCAGGTGCCATCGAGTCGGAACCGACTCATAGCGACCCCATGCACAGCAGAACGAAACAATGTCCGATGCTGGGCCATCCTCACTACCGCTGCCACACTTGAGTCCATCAATGATGCCACCTGGCCAATCCATCTCATTAGGGGTCTTCCTCTTTTTCTCTGACCCTCCACCTTACCCAGCATGACATCCTTCTCCAGCGACTGTTTCCTCCGGACAATATGTCCAACGTATGAGAGACGAAGCTTAGCCATCCTGGCCTCCAAGGAGCACTCTGGCTTTACTTCTTCCAAAACAGATCTATTGGTTCTTTTGGCAGCCCATGGCACTTTCAGTATTCTCCTCCAACACTACAACTCAAAGGCATCAATTCTTCTACGATCCTCCTTATTCACTGTCCAGCTTTCGCATCCATATGAGGCTATTGAAAACACCATGGCCTGGGTCAGGCGCACCTTAGTCCTCAAGCTGACATCTCTGCTCTTCAGTACTTTAAAAAGTTCCTGTGCAGCATATTTGCCCAATGCAATACGTCGTCTGATCTCTTGACTGCTGCTTCTGCGAGTGTTGATAGTTGATCCAAGAAGAATGAATTCCTTGACAACTTCAATCTTTTCTCCATTGATAAGAATGTTGTTTATTGGTCCAGTGGTGAGGATTTTTGTTTTCTTGACATTGAGATGTAATCCATATCGATGGCTGTGCTTTTTGATCTTCATAAGTAAATGTTTCAAGTCCTCTTCACTTTCAGCAAGCAAGGTTGTATCATTTGCATATCGCAGGTTGTTAATGAGTCTTCCTCCAATCCTGATGGTCGGAAAAGTAGGAGGAAATAAAATGGAGAGTAAATGAATATACGGACCAAGTCTGATGGCAAAAATTGTATGCGAAAAACTTTCACCTTAGGGAAGTGGCTAAGTACCATAGGCCATGAAAGACTAAAGAAACTGGATTCTATTTCATGTTTTTAAACTACCTGAAATACATATATTTCCTTCAACGTGAGACAAGCTAAATTTGAAATGAGTCCAAAATTCATTCTAAAAGAGGCATCTAACATATAATCAGGCTTAAGTGGAGCAGAGGATCCGTAGTGGCACTGGAGGATAAGCACTAGACTGTTAACCACAAGTTTGGCAGTTCAAACCCACCACTTGCTCCAATGGAGAAAGATGAGGCTTTCTGCTCCAGTAAAGATTGACAGCTTTAGAAACCCTATACAGGGTCGCTATGATATATATATTTAAAGCATAAAATTCTCCCTTTGGCAATATGTGAGGATTGGCATTTATTTCACAGAAACCCTCAATTCCTCCTGAGGTGCTTTAAATTTACAACTCTCCAATGATCTGAAATCGGGTTAAGTAACTACCTTGAGGTGGAGTTAGGTAGTATCCCCATTTTCCTCCTTTCCCCCCCGGCATTCTTAGTATTCCCCCCCCCCCCCTTATTAGTTTTAAACAAAAGAACAAAAAAGTAAATCTTTTAACAGTTGTGGCTATGTGTCCCCCTTCACTTTGAGGACTCTCTACATCTGTTTTTCACACATAATATGTCGAATTCTAATATTTGCTTTTCATAAGCAGAAGTCAGTTATTTCATTAAAATCAGCAAATCGGTATTCACTTTACCGAACTATTTGTTTCTCCCTATCAAAAAAAAGGCAACAAATGGACTTTTTAGGAAAGTAATATACAGGGGGGAAAAGTATATAGATAGATAGATAATAAATGTATATACATTTTACCTTCCAAAGTAATTTGAATTTTTACGTCAGCTGTATAAAAATGTATTATATATATTTGTTGTTGTTGTAGTTGGTGGTAAGTGCTGTCGAGTCGATTGCGACCCTGTATAGGGCTTCCAAGGAGCAGTTGGTGAGCTTGAACCACTGACCTTGCAGTTCAAGCAGCTTTGCAGTCTGGCGTCTTAACCCACAGCACCACACCAGATATATTGTTGTTGTTAGGTGCCATCAAGTCGGTACTGACCCATAGCAACCTTATACACAGCAGAACAAAACATTGCCCGATCCTGGGCCAACCTCACTACTGTTGCCACGCTTGAGTCCATGAAGGCTGCCACTTGGCCAATCCACCTCATTGGGGGTCTTCCTCTTTTTCTCTGACCCTCCACCCTACCAAACATGATATCCTTCTCCAGTGACTGCTCCCACCTGACAATATGTCCGAAGTATGAGAGGCGAAGTTTGGCCATCTTGGCCTCCAAGAGCACTCTTGGCCTCCAAGAGCACTCTGGCTGCACTTCCAAAACGGATCTATTGGTTCTTTTGACAGCCCCCATGGCACTTTCAGTATTCTTCTCCCACAACAGAACTCAAAAGCATCAATTCTTCTATGATCTTCACCAGATATATATATATATACTGTCAGAGCCAATCTTTGTGAAAGAAAAAGGAAGGATTTGGAAGAACACACCAAAAAAAACGGTTCAGTGCCTCCAACTTAAAGAACATTAATTCAAACTATACATGACGGGGCTCTGTCAGCCAGGCTGCTGAGGGTGGTGTGCACGGGGCCAGGGTCTGCAGGAGGTACTGGGTTAGTACTGCCTGCTTAGGGGAACCCTTTTAAATACAAACATCCATCATGGAGTCTATATAGATCTGGTTTTCCCTTAGGATAAGTGGTACATGCCATATCCGACTGGTGTGGCATAGAGTCTGACGGGCGGGATCGGGCGCACAGGTCTGTGGAAACGGTATAATGCTTCGTAGAGGGAAGCTGCTCGCAGGGATGAGTTGATAGGAAAAGGAAGGCTAAAGCTGAAGGCTAGCATGGGTTTGGCAGCCATCTTCCAACTTTTCCAGTTTTGCCTCTTGAAGTCTTTTCGCCTTGGCCCTCCGGTTCTGGAACCAGACAGGGTCTCTGTGAGGTTCAGAGAGCTGGCGAACTCTGCCCGTTCTGCAATGGAGAGGTACCGTTTCTGCTTGGAGTTGCGTTCCTGAGCTAGAAGCTGGGATTGGTGAAGGGTGTACAAAGGCTTCCGATTGGTCTTATGTTTACGTTTCTGCTTGGAGTTGTGCTCCAGGGCCAGAAGCTGGGATTGGTGAAAGGTGTACAAGGCATCCGATTGGTTTTATGTTTACGTTTCTGCTTGGAGTTGCGCTCCAGGGCCAGAAGCTGGGATTGGTGAAAGGTGTACAAGGCATCCGATTGGTTTTATGTTTACGTTTCTGCTTGAAGTTGCGCTCCAGAGCCAGAAGTGGGGATTGGTGAAGGGTGTACAAGGCTTCCGATTGGTCTTATGTTTCCGCAAGGGTGCCGGTGGTGGTGGTAGGGTTCATATGTCTTGGCCGCGGCGAGTTTCTGCCGGGTTCCTGTATCCACGTCACGTCGCTCCGTCTTCCAAATTTTCCAATTTGACCGAGGTAGTCTCGAAGGGCTTGACCAGCGTCCCGGGGCACTGCGCTCCTGATTGCCTGTATCAGGGCAGTAGCAGAAGTCACATGGTTGGACGGGAGACAATTCCTTGGGGTGGCTTCTTGTCCAAAATGAGCGTCTTCAGTCTAAAGGGCAGACTGGAGACCTTGACGCAGGGCTTCTCAGCGACTCTAACGCCTCGGCGCCCTCGGGCCCATTGCCCAACCCAGCCAACATACCCCGGCCTTCATAATAGATGAAAACAGATGGTTGCTTGTGGACGGAGAAGCCATGACTTTTCTCTCTTACCTTATTCTTAGCTGTGTTTTGGTGGCGTTTAATACACATGTGTTTGTTGTGGCTCTGTGGGATAATGTGCTGGACTGCAAAGTCGGTGTGAATCGTGAGGTCGGTGGTTCAAGCTCCCCAGCAGCTCCTCGGAAACCCAATACAGGGTTGCTATGGTCTAAACTAACTCGACAACACTTATTAACAGCAACAGCTACCATCTCTCATCTTATTCTTAGCCGTGTTTTGATGGCATTTAGCACACGTGTGTTAATATCTATTACAGATTTTTAGGCTTATATGTGGCCTGTTGTTCAGTGCCCACAAGTAGGTTCTGACTTACAACGACCTTTTGTAGGGTTCCCTAGCTGTAAATTTTTATGATAGCAGAAAGGCATCTTTCTCCCATGGAGCAGCAGTTGGACTCGAACCAACCTTGTTGTTAGCAATCTATTGAATATCCTACAATAATAAATCATACCATAGTGATACCAAATAAAACAAGATTGATATTTTTCTAAATATCTTTTTTTTTTTCTAAATATCTTTTAATGTTAACCTTGAGTTCTTTCTGGAAATAGACACAGTGCAGTAAAGCTGTGAGATTAAAGTGCTGTATAATATAAGAAGAGATTTCTAACTTGGTGGATGGATGAATGACCTTTATTTGCTTGACTTCAACCTGATCTAGAAATTGTATGGAAAATTATGTTATGTTCTCATCATGGGTGGGTGGAGAAGAGAGGTTAGGGTATCTAGAGCTTTCATAAAGGACTCCAAAGGGACACAGAGGCCCCTTAAGTGACTGCTGTAATTGTGTTTATGATTATAAATATGAAATAAAATGCAAGTGTTCACTCCATGAATAGGTTCCGTGTCCTGGTATATATGACCATTGCACACAAATTTGATAGAAATAGGTGGCCTAGGTGTGTGAAATAACACTGTAGCAAATGAGACAGTGCAAGTGAAAATCTGAAAGAGTTTTGAGTGATGGAATTGCTAGTGTTAGGTGCTGTTGAGTTGGTCCTTTGCCGTCCTCACAACTGTTGCTGTGTGGGAGCTCATTATTACAGCTGTTGTGTCAGTCCACCTTATTGAGGGTCTTCCTCTTTTTCATTGACCCTCTACTTTACCAAGGATGATAACCTTCTCCATAAATTGGTTCCTCCTGTTAACATGTCTATAGCATATGACGCAGTCTCTCTCCTTCCTGATTTCTAAGGAGCATATTCTGGCTATACGTCTTCTCAGATTTTTTTGTTCTGGCAGTCCATGGTACTTTATTCTCCAACACCATAATGGGTATCTTCCTTTTTCATTATCTAATTTTCATGTGCATATGACATGACTGAAAATACCACCCATGGCTTGCGTCAAGTCCAGCTTAGTCTTCAAAGTGACATCTTTAATTTTTAATACTTTAAAGAGATCTTTTTTAGAAGATTTTCCCAGTGCAGTAGGCCATTTAGTTTCTTGACTGCTGTGTCCATTGGCATTGATTGTGAACCCAAGTAAAGTGTAATCTTTGACTTAGGTGTTTTCTATGTATCATAATGTTGTTTATTGGTCCCGTTAGTGAGCATTTTTGTTTTCTTTATGTTGAGATGTAATTCACACCAAAGGCTGGTTTTTGATTTTCATCAGTAAGTGTTTCAAATCCTCATCACTTTCAACATTCAGGGGTGGAATAAAGTTCATAGTAGAAAGCAGATGGCAGGTGCAGCAGTATCCACTGAAAGAAAGTCATGTGGCCAGGATGGCTGAGAGGATGGCTAGGGTTGTCTTTCTTTAAACAAACTCTGCACCCCATGGAAGATTGGTAAAACACAGTACAAAATAGATAAGAGTGAGCCCTGTCAGTGAATTAGGTCTCCTTAGGCCGTAACCTGAGCTATCAGTTGATAGATACCAAGTGTGAATGTGGGCATTTCCAACTCCAGAGTGAACTAATTTCTCATATATGTGTATAAACACATGTTAACATATCTTCCTGTTTTAAGTATCATTGCCATTTATTAAATAGCTAGATTATATAACACATAAAACATTTTTTATAAACCTTATATATATAGAAGTAACATGTTAAATGGCTCTTCTTTAATGTGGCTGTGTTGTTACGGTTCAGTGCTATCGAGTTGTTTCTGACTCATAGTGACCCCGTATAGGGTTTTTGAGGACTGGGGATTTGAACCACTGACCTTGCAGTTAGCAGTCTAGCACTATACCAGGACTCCAATATGGCACTATGTGATGGTAGTGATGGTGTGCTGTTGAGTCTATTCCAATTCACAGCAACCCTGTATAGGGCTTCTGAAATTGTAGACTTTTATGGGAGCTGAAAGCCTCCTCTTTCTCCTCTGGAGTGCCTGGTGGACTTGAACTGCTGACCTTGTGGTTAGCAGCCCAATGCATAACCCAGTAAGTATTAAATTGTTGAAACTCTCTAGCTGGGCTAGTTGCAGAGCAGTCAAGTGGAGGCAACAGCTCAGCATGCTGAGTTAGAAATTCACTCACTGAGCCAGTGTTTCACTGAAGGTCACTGTGCGCTAGTCATTGTTTGCATTGCTGTTCTGAGCACTGCGAAGACAAGTACAATTCATATGTGATGAGCCATACTTCCTCCTAAATGCCCATAATTCCTTCCCCTTTCCTATATAGAAATCCTGGGATGGCACAAACAATTAGTGCTCAATTACCAGCTGATAGGTTGGTGGTTCAAACCCCCCGGACCCAGAGGTGCCTCAGATGATATGCCTGGTGATGTGCTTCCTAGAAGTCAAAGCCTTAAAAACTCTATGGAGTGGTTCTATTCTGCATATACAGCATTGCCATGAGTCAGGATCAATTCAAAGGCAACTAACAACAGCAAGTCCTAAAAAGAAATGGTGTTTGTTTGCTTATTTTAATTTGCTGTACAAAAATCTATCTGCAGAAGGTATGCCCACATAAGCTTGATTAGGTTTATAACTTCTCTCAGGAATGATCTTGAAAACCCTTTCCTTGGCTACAACTAATCTTGATGCAAATAAGGTAAATGCTTTTAAAAGAACAGGTTTAAAGGCACTATTTGCTATTCCTGGGCAAGACGTTTGGACTCATTTACACTTTTACCTTGACTTTCTTTTCACATGTCTTGTAGGGTCTTATACTGTTAGTATGCTGTGGAGTTGGTTCCGACTCATAGTGACCTCATACAGAGTTTCTGAGGCTGTAAATCTTTGCGGCAGCAGAGAGCCTCATCTTTCTTCTGTGGAGCGCCTGCTGACCTTATGATTCACAGACCAATGTGTAACCCACAACACCACCAGGGCTCCTATAGGGCCTTATGTTGTTATGTGCTGTCAAGTCAGTTCTGAGTCATAGTGTCCCTGAATAGAGTTTCCAAGGAGTGTCTGGTGGGTGTAAACCGCTGATCTTGTGTTTAGACATCCAGTGCTGATCCTACAGCACCACCCCACAACTCCATAGGGTTTTATAGTGAATCTTAGTCTTTCTCTATATTCTTTGGGAAACATGGCAAAATAGTAAAATATGTGGGAAATTTGGGGAGTGATTACTGGGTTAAAAGGAGGAAAAGTAGATTTGTTTTGTATAGTTAAGAATTCTAGTCCTCAGGCTGAGGGAAAGAAACAGAATTGGATTGTTTCGCTTTTGGATGAAACGATAGTGGAAAGTTGGATAAGTTTGAATCTAGGCAATAGTTCTTAACTGGGACAGTTTCATGTTCCAGGATCTATAAAAGGGATATTGTAATATGAGTTATAAAAATCATTAAGTGCTATAATCTTATCTGTTATTCTCTTTACAGAAGATTTTAGAAAGTACTGTGATGATGTTGTAAACACAGCTGCATGGGGAGGTCAGCTTGAGGTAAGTTTGTAATTATTCATAGTGAATTGTGTATTATTATTTCTAAATCCCATCTGTAGTTTTCAGACTTAAAATTTTTTTTTTTGCTCTTTCTCTATTAACAAAGCACTAAATAGAGTGGTATTGTTAGACCTTTGAATAAGGTATGCACTTCGGGGAAGTGTAGCACTGTTGTTAGGTGCTGTCGGGTTAGTTCTAACTCATAGCAACCCTATACACAACAGAACGAAACACTATCTAGTCCTGCACCATTTCATTTTTGACAACTTCCAATTTTTCTAGGTTCATACTTTGTACATTTCATGTTCCAATTGTTAATGGATGTTTACAGCTGTTCCTATTCATTTTGAGTTGCGCCCCATCAGCAAATGAAGGTCCTGAAAGCTTTACTCTGTTCACATCATCATGGTCAACTTAGAATAGGCAGTTCTTCTCCAGTTGTATTTTGAGTGCCTTCCAGCCTAAGGGACTCATCTTCTGGCACTAGAGCTGACAATATCCTGTGCTTTTCATAATGTTTTAATATTCAGTATTCTTTTGCTGTTTGATCGTGTTTCACTGCTATTCATAAGGTTTTCAGTGACTAAATATTCAGACGTAATCTGTCTCGCCTTCCTAGTCTATCTTAGTCTAGAAGTTCACCTGAAACCTGTCCAGCGTGGATAGCCCTGCTGGTATTTAAAATACTGGTGGGATAGCTTCAGCATCATAACAACCTGCAAGCCTCCAAAAGACGGCAAACTGACAGAGTGGTGGAAGTGTATTTGATACATTAAAATTCAAATGCAGGAAAACAGTTATGTTCAATTGCTTTCTGGTAGGTAATTGAGGATTTCTCTTAGCTCTTGTTATTTATCTTACTGTTACCTTTTTTAAAAAAATGAAAAACAAAATGAAACACCTCACTAGTCCAAATGGTGATGAGACAGCCCAACCCGGTACCTAGAAAGACAAAGGATAAAAAGAGGGAGAGGGTGAGTCACAGCTCACGTCTGGCTCTTGTTTCCACTTTTCAGTTTTGTAACTTTGGGGAAGTCAGCCAACCTCGTCATTATTGAATGGGGGACAGTAAAACAACTGTGTGCACTCTGTAGGGTATGTGTGAGCATCAAGTAAGGCCAGAATACATTCATTGATGTTTGTAAGCTAAGGTGCTAGATGACGCTATCATTATTATTACTAACGATGTATCTGTTATTACTATACCACCTTGAGTCATTTTGGGCTCTGAGCATTTTATTTTGATAGCTGATTTTGAAGCTGTGACATGAATGTTTCCTTTAAAATCTTTTTTCAGCCGTTCTGTGTTGTACCTCCTTGGAGCCACCAAGGGGAGCTGTGTTCATTAGTTTTGTATGTCTCTCTTGGGTTTTTCAAGCTCTCATGAAGTTTCCATAGTTTTTACGACTTACTACATCAGAAATAAAGATGCTTGAACATTATTATAAAAATCACAACTTTAAAAATGTCTTTTGGCAGACATTTACTCATAAATTCCTCATTAGTTGAATTCAATTGAAATAAGAGTTTTTGTTTTTACAATGATTCTTCATACCGTTTCTGAAAACTTAGAAAGCATATTAACATTCCCAAAGTTCACTTACCAGCCTACATAACATGCTGTTGTTGTATGCTGCTGAGTTGGTTCTGACTCACAGTGACTGATAATAGGGTTTCCAAGGCTGCAAATCTTGCCAGAAAGCCTCATCTTTCTCTCATGGAGTGGCTGGTACATTTCAACTGCTGACTTTATGCTTAGCAGCCCAACATGTAACCCACGATGCCACCAGTGCCTTTTTAAAAAATGTTAGTTGAGTTCTTATAAAAGCACAGGGCTTCTAGCTGTTCCCAATAGTTCAGCCATAGCTGATGGAAACAAGGATATCGTATACATTGCATAGCAGCCAAATCTCTTGTGCGAGGAATTTTAACCCAAGTAGGAAACAGGCACCTTTGACTAACCAAAGATAGTGGCCATCACACTCAAAATGGTACAGTTGGCTGCTATCTTTAAGTGGGACATTGCTGCCTCTTTGTTCTTATTGTTAAGTACTGCGGAGTCACTTCTGACTCATAGCAACCTTGTATAGGGTTTCCGAGAAGTGGCTAGTGGGTTTTAACTTCTCACCTTGTGGTTAACAGTCCAATGCTTATCCTACAGCATCATGCCTGTTCCTTACTCAAGTCAAAATCTGAGCAAGAGATTTGGTTTCTATACAACAGTGCATGCTGCCCTTGTATCTGCTGACCTTAACTTTGAAGCCCTGGGGAAAAATGCTACTTTATTCTTTCTCTATGGCATTCTTTCCAAAGAACCATTGTAGGAGTGTGCATGGAATTAAGCTTGCGGGTAGTATAAAATTCTTTCTCTGTTCCTGATATAATTTCTTAGGTTCTTTCAAGACTTGCAAAAAGAACCATAGTCTAGACAAAATGTTTTTGTAATGGAGCAAATATAGATCTGGACACTGAAAACTGCTAATGATTGATTTGGTTATGAACTTGGGCTCTAGTGTCAGATGCCTCTTAACCTTTTTCTGCTTCAGATTCTAGGTATTTGAAATGATCATCACAGTATACAGTTGACCCAGGAACAACACAGGTTTGAACTGCACATACCCAGTTACATGTGGGTTTTTTTTCCTGCTGTGTATTTTGTTAAGCTCAAGTGTTTCGAATATCCTCTTATAAAGCTGTGTGATTCTGATCGTCTCCGCAGGGGCAGTTTGAGCAGTACTGGAAAGTTGCTGTCCTGCGGCGTAAAGGCAACACATAAGCTCACTGCAGTACGCAGGAAAAACATCCACATATAAGTGGGTCCAAGTAGTTGAAACCTTTGTTTTTCAAGGGTCAACTGTATTTATTCCGTAGTTACTATAGAATGAACTCATAAAATGTTTAAGAGTGCTTGGTCATAGTAAGTTTAAATCATGTACTTACTAGTATTCATTATTAACCATTATTCATTAGACTGCTCTAATTTTGTATCGTATGAAATTATATGCTAATCACATGGAAATTTCTTAAAAGTACAATACAACTAATATACATATCTATTCTGCTAATGCATGGAAAACTTTAGTGCAGTGCTTCTCATATGTTTATCTAAAAAGCTTGTTTCAAAACAACACAAAAAAACCCTTCTCTGTACACTTCCTTCCCCTTCCAAATGATCATTTATTTGGTGTGTTGCTTGATTAATGGTGTCTTTAAAAATGTATTGTGGGAAATTTCAAGCATATTCAAAAGTAGACAGACTAGTATAATCACTCCACCTCATTATCGTGGCATTGATAAGCTAAGCTGGAGTGCAGCAAAAGCTTGAGAAAATTCTGCATTTGATCTAATAAATGTTTATTTGCTCAACAAAATATTTATGAAATGCCCATTGTGTGCCAACCTCTTGGTGTTCAGTGATGAACAGAGTACAGTTCCTCTCTGACTGGTCACCTATCCATGCTTACTTCAGTGGCTTATGATTTTAATATGATAGGCATTATAATTTTCCTGACTAATATCTTTTTCTTTTTCCTGAAGCTAAGAGCACTGTCTCACGTTTTACAAACCCCGATAGAAGTAATACAGGCAGATTCTCCTCCTATTATAGTTGGTGAAGAGTACCCGAAAAACCCATTAATGCTTGTGTAAGTACCTAGAAGTTTTTGCTGCTTTGTTTTTCCTAATTAATGTAAAGAGAAACACAGAAAGAATATGTGTTGATTGATCAAAAAAATCTATTTGTCAGAATACATGACTTAGATAATTGGTTGAATGCCCAGTGATTTATTCTTATATAAGCAAAGACTGATTTCATTTCTAAAGATTACAAAGTTTCAGGACATGTGTGCCTACTGTCCTGGTTTGACAATAGTAATGCTAAAGTTTCAACAGCAGTGAAAGTTGAATTGTATTTGTTATTTATTCACCTTAGAGATTTTTTTTGTTGTTGTGAAAATATTTGATATGATCAAGAACTCTTCTCTGAAATGCAGAGGGGCTTCAAAAAGTTCATTAAATAATTCCATTATTATTATATATATATTTTGCTACAAATCACAGAAAATTTTATTAAACAAAATTTTCAGTGTGATGTTATCATTTCTTGACATATTTTTCATCTAGCATATACACTTCTGAAGACAATGTTTACCTCTCCCTAAGTGTGGCGTGTTGTGGGTTAATGCGCCAGGCTGCAAAGCCGTTTGAGCTGCAAAGTCGATGGTTCGAGCTCACCAGCTGTTCCTTAGAAACCCTATACAGGGTCACTAGGGTTTGGAACCGATTTGACAGCATTTAACAACAACAACCCTTCCCGAAGAATTCTGCGCTCTTTGATTTACACCACATCAAAATGTCACCTTTGGCATCCTCAAAGGACTCAAATTGTGTTCTTTTGAAATGTTCTTTGAGATTGAGGAACAAAATGAAGTCAGAAGGGACAAGATCAGGGCTATAGGGTAGTATATGGGTGGTGGTAGCTATGTGCTGTGGAGTCAGCTCTGATTCATAGTGACCCTGTATAGGATTTCCAAGGCTATAAATCTTTACGAGTGCAGAGATCCTCATCTTTCTCCTGTGGAACAGCTGGTAGTTTTGAACTGCTGACCTTGAGGTTAGCAGCCCAACTCATAATCACTACACTACCATCTATTAGTTTTTAATTCCTTTTTTACTACAAAATTTTTGAAGATCCTTATATACTACAGAGAAATTGTGATCTACTTGAGTATATATTAGTTAGGTCTAAGAAGCTATTTGGACTTCTGGTGTGACACTGTGGATCAGCACTGGACTATGAACTATGAGATCGGCAGTTCAAACCCACTGGTTGCTCCTTGGGAACCCTATACAGGGTTGCTATGAGTCAGAACCGACTCAACAACACTTAACAGCAACAACAAGCTATTTATTAGTGACTTGGATTTAGGTGAAAATGTAAGATTATTGAGGGTTTAGCCATCTCAAGTTTTTTCCTTTTATCCTGAAGTGATTGTGTTTCACTGGATTTAATCTCAGCAGACTGTTACTAAATCAGCCATTGTTGACTGCTGATTTTCAAATGGTTTTGATCTTTTACGTAATAGGTTGATGTAGATTGTTGAATGCTATCCTGGTGGAATGATTTATTCAGGGTTCTTGGTTTTATATGTGTAGTAAACATTTTATTTGTTTACATTGTAAGCATTTATATATAACTCATTTCTCCTTTTTTTTATTTCAGATACATGAGGCATGCGTATGGGTTAGGAGAACATTACAATTCTGTTACACAGTTGATAAGAACTACTGAAAATTGCAGCTAGTTTATAAAATGTTGCTTAATTATGTTTTAGTGCAGTGTGACGATCTGAGTATTCATATCAAGTGCTGGATTGTTCTAAATGTTACTGAAAAACACAGCTACCTTAAATGAGTTTTTTGGCAAAGCTATTAACAAGTTTTTCAGAAATGTATCAGAGATATACTGATAATCTCTTTCATAATATTTTAAAAACTGTTAAATTCATTGTGGATAACATCACTTACAGACAAAGATGGTTCCCTACCCATATCAAAGTTTATATCAAGACTTTGAACAGTCTATTCTGTATTGGAATGCATTTAATTTATTTTCCATGTTATTAAAGACTTTCAGTAACCATTTCAATGTAATTTTTCCTGAAGAAGTGAATTGACTGAGTCTCTTATTCATTGCAATAATGTGAGTAGGGTGATAGCAACTTTCGTTGTAGCTTATAAATGAATTGGGTTACCGTAACCTTGGTATTGCCATGAAGCGTTTTATTTAACCCCACCAAGGTGCAGCTTAAGAAGCTTGTTTTAATCATTGAGAATATTTAAAGATTCATTCAAATGAGATAAATTTAAAGATAAGCAGATGCTCTTCAGATTTAAATCTCTAAAAAGTTAGATACTAGCTTTTTATTTGTAATTTTAAAGAACAAAAATCCAACAGATTACTGTGTCTTTATTCTTTCTTATTTCTTAAACTTCAGACTGGAGTTACTATGATTGTCTCTTAATTAGCTTCTTGACTTGTCAGGTGCTGTCAAGGCAGTTCTGACTCATCGTGACCCTTTGTAGGCTTTGCAGGGAGCGGCTCGTGAGTTTGAACCGTCGCCCTTGCGATTCAAATGACCTTGCATTCCAGTGCTTACCTACAGTGTCAGATCAGGACTCCTACACATTTTAATGTTCTCTGTGGTTTTCTATCACTACTTGCTGGCTTTTCTACTGAGACAATTTGTGGCTTCTCTCCTTCTCTACTTTGTTCATGGTGAAGGAGTAGCATTGTTAAAGGGGCTAATGTCAGTCACATTCACCTAGAATTCTTCTTTTCAGTTTGTCTTACAAGCTCTTATTCTTTTGCCTTTTTCTGTAGAATTAGAAGAACACTTTTGTTATTTTATTAGGCTTATATTTAATTTAAATATTTGAGAATTTCTATGTTGCATATATGCACAAAGTTGAAAGCCACTGTCTGGGAGTCAAGATTTATATAGTAAACTCCATATGCAGTCGTTTTAGGGGCAAATTCTTTATCTTCAGTTTCAGGCTTCTCATAGCAGTATAATTAATACCCATACATACAAACATGCGTGATCATTTATTATGTAAGAAAGTATTGTCTGTGAAAATGGACCCATTTGTGTTGGATCTATTTTTCCCGAGATAGAAATATAACTAGTAAAATTTATCAAGTTTATAGTATTTGATATTATTTCCTTCATAAGTGTAGCTACCTTTTTTTTTTTTTTTAAAGTAAACACTGTGCTTAAAATACTTTTAACAGAAATCCAGTCTCACATGCCCTCCAGGTAACAAATGTGGGACTCAAGTAGAGTCTGTGGTAAACTAGCCTCAACTAAGGCTTGCCTTAAGGCAGCCCGATTCAAAAGTCAAAAAACATTCTGCTGCCAAACAAAGTATGTTCAGAAGGCTGCCTATTTTGTAGTCCGTGATTTGAATGTTGTGGGGGTTTGAGATTTATAGAAGAATGAAATGGTAAAATACTAAATGCCTCTGTTTTATTTTGAAGCAATCTGTTTCTTTAAAATGAAAATATAGGAATTAAGAAGTAATATAGAGATCTGTGGGTTAATATGCCAGACTGCAAAGCTGTTTGAACTGCAAGGTCGGCGGTTCAAGTTCATCACCTGCTCCTCGGAAACCCTATACAGGGTCACTATGGGTTAGAATCGACTCGACAGCACTCAACAACAACAACATAGAGATATTATGAAACCTTGTTGCTATGAATTCCATTTACATCTAAAGTATTCTAAAATAACTTATTGGTTATTTTTTTGTTTTGTTTTAAATGACAAACAGTAGTATTTTCTTGATTATAAATTAAATTTTATCTTTATTATTATTAAAACAATTAAAAATAGCCAAATAACGGTTATAAACAGGATTTGTATGACTGACTTCTAGTTTTTTTCTCATAAAAATGCAGATAAATGTAATTTTAACTGTACCCTAAACTTGAAGTCTTTAAAAATGGCAGATGTTAATTTAAAAAGCATTTAGTTTGCTGTATGATGATGTCTAATGGAAGTTTCATAAGCTTTATTTTGTCCTAACTAACAAAAATATATGTCAGAGTTCTGCAATATGTCTTAAGCCAAGAATTGCATCCCCTTTAATATGTTTACAACTTGTGTAAAGCAAAACAAAATGTGTGTAATTATAGTGAGCAACATAGTTTTGCTCTCATATGATATTTGCTAAAAAGAATAAAAGATGAATTAATTAAATCAACACATTTGATTAAATTGTCATTATTTAATGATTTTAGAACTTAGAAATAAATCTTATTTTGCTTCAGAATTTTATCTAGTCTATCTTTTGTCCTTTCAAATTATTTTGACAAATAATTTGAAAACAATACAATCACAAATTCTTGAATTTAAGGACTTTAATAAGTTGAGCAATGAGTAAGGAAGATGATGAGAGAATTGACACATTTGAATTACGGTGTTGATAAAGAATAGTAAAAGTACCATTGACTGCCGGAAGACCAAACAAATCGGGTGTAGGAAGATGTATAGCCAGAATGTTCCTTAGAAGCCAGGATCGTAAGACTTTGTCTGATAATTTGGACATGTTGTCAGGAGGAAGTAGTTCCTGGAGAAGAATGTCATGCTTGGAGAAATAGTCAACACAAACGTGGAAGACCCCCCAATGAGATGAAGTGACAGCAACAATGGGTTTAAGCATAACAATTGTGAGGGTAGTACAGGACTAGGCAGTGTGTTTTTCTGTTGCTCATAGGGTCACTAAGAGTCAAAAATGACTGCACCTAACAACAACAGTAACAAGAATGAACATATGGGTATAGCATTATACCTAGACAGAATAGAGGGAGATAGTAAAATAGTCATTTAAACTATGACTTAAAAATCAGAACCTTTTAGAATATTTTACAATAGTAAAGGTTTATTTAGGGGAAATGATTTGTGAGAGTATTGTAATATTTGTGGATGTTAAAAATTGTGTGCAAAATGTTAAACAAGAAGGAATACTTACTACTTCGATGAAAAGCAACTGGGATCTTAAAAGCTCATGAGCAGTCACCTAAGATGCAACTATCAATATCTTCATGTTCAGAAGAAAGAAGAATGATAAAAATTGAAGATGCTTGGAAGTAACTAATCCAATGGGCCAATGGAATGTGAACATCAGTCACCACGACAGATCAGAAGAACTAGATGGTGCCCAGCTTCCACTACCAACTTTTCTGGAAGGAGTCACATTAGAACTTCCCAGATAATGAAAGATAATGAAACAAAAACTCAAAATTGTAAAAAGGACAGGGCTTATTGGTCAGAGACTGGAGGAACCTGAGAATATAGCCCTGGACTACCCTTCAAATCTAAAATGGAACCCACCCCTGTGGACCAGTTGTAACTAAGATAGGTATTTGGTGGGGGACAACAACACTAGTAAGGTGGTATGCTCTACGTGGAATGGCCAGCCATTCACTATCAAAAGGGCAACATTTACCTAAGGACAGAGTTAAGAGTTGGTAAGGAGGGTGAAATGGAAATAACCATGGGGAAAGTCGATTAACTTGTTACATGGAGGGGATTGCAATCACTGAGATGAAACAAAATGTATGATTTGTTGACTGTACTATTAATCTGCTCTGTAAACTTTCAGGCAACATAGTTTTGGGGGGGAAAAGGATGTTTATGCAAATTAATGTCAATTGTTAATGCATCATCTTGTAGATTACAAAAAAAAAAATAGAAAAACTGATTTTCTGAAGATTTTATTAGTAATTTCATATTGTTTTAATGCTTTTATTGAACAAATGATAGTTTGTTTTTCCTTGTCTCATGTTTTCTTATACTTTAAATCTTGTTTGATCTTTCTCCATCTTGCCAACCAAAGGAGAAAAATACCTTATGAGGTTTCAAATTCTTTTTTTTAAAGTTAAATTTTAGGAAGCATTAATTCTTGTCCATTAACCTACCCGTTATTTTTGTCTATGTCAGGACCTATGTACTGTCATGCTTAGTAGTTGATTGGAATACTTTATCCAGGCTACTTCACTTCTACCACATGTTGTACTGTGATGGCTTGTGAGTTGCTGTGATTCTGGAAGCTATGCCACCAGTATTTAAATACCAGCAGGGTCATCCATGGTAGACAGGTTTTAGATGAGCTACCAGATGAAGACAGACCAAAAAGAAGGAGAGATGGACTGCTTCTAAACCTCATCAATAGCAGTGGGACACTGTCAGCTCCAGAATACTGAATATTTAAACATGTTGAAGAGCACCAAATATTGTCAGATATAGTGCTGGAAGATGAGCCCCTCAGGTTGGAAGGCACTCGTAATATGACTAGGGAAGAGCTACGTCCTGAAAGTAGAGTCGACTGTGATGACGCAAATGGAGTAAAGTCTACGGTACCTACATTTGCTGATGGGGCACACCTCAAAATGAAGAGATCGTGGTGGTGGGGTGCTGTGGAATCAGTTTTGACTCAGCGACCCTATATAGGGTTTCCGAGGCTGTAAATCTTTATGGGAGCAGAAAACCTCTTCTTTCTCCCACGGAACAGCTAGTAGTTTTGAACTGCTGACCTTGAGGTTAGCAGACCAATTCATAACCACTAAGCTACCAGAAGAGAAGCAGCTATAAATATCCATTAATAATTGGAACATAAAATGTATGAAGTAAAAATCTAGGAAAACTGGAAATTGTCAAAAATTGAGTGAACCCACAAATACCAATATCCTAAGCATTAGTGAGCTGAAATGGATGGGCATTGGCCATTATGAATCTGACAATCACATGGTTTACTCTGCCAGGAATGACAAATAGAAAAATGGCGTCACGTTCATCATCAAAAAGACTGTATTGAAGTACAATGTTGTTTGTTATAGGATAATATCCATATGCCTATAAGGAAGACCTGATTTGGCGCTGTGGGTTAATATATTGGACTG